AATATGAAACAAGTAAAATTGAATCTTCCTGTATATCTTACCTGTACATAACGATAAAAGTATCACCTTCTTACACATCTGCGTACTTTTATAAAATAGTTTCAATTCATGATATACAAAGTTAAAATAGGAGCAAACATAAAGAAGTATTATTATGTATTGGAAAAGGAAAAAATGGAAATTCAGCAATTATTGTAATTATTTGCAGTACCTAATGGGGGGAGGGGGTTATTGGGTTAACCCGTCCATCCCCGATATTAAAAGAATATCCTAGGCAAGAAGTGATAACACCATAATAGAAACAAGTGGTAGTGAAGGATCTATTTACAGATGAGAAAGTTACTATAAGTCTAAAAATTTATTTTTAGAAATATGTAGAGGGTAGTGACAGCAAAGAATAGTAATTTTGTAAGAAAAATGGTTTATAGTAAGGGTTTGAACCTAGCAATAATGCCTGTTTGGACGATTGGAAATAGTGGAGAGGTATTTTGACCAGACTGCATAACAAAAAAAACGGTTTATCTAATTGAAAACAGACACGCTAATGTGTCGTAACAATTTTATACACAATATGTACACACATTTTATGAAGAAAAAATTACTCCAGTTTATATACAAAACTAAACATAATTAAATTAAAAATTATCCCCCCCGCCCCCGAACGAAAATTCTACGTACGCCCCTGGTAAACAGAGATAATAATTGCTATCAAATGGAATTTTTAAATGATCTCGATAAGTGCACACATGCATTTATTTGAAATTTCATTACGTAATTTTGTTTTTGTTTTTATTCGAACTTACCGTCATTTCTTCCAATACTTTAGGATTTCTGTAGTTCAAATCGGGTTGTTGTTCTGTAAATTGATGTAAATACCATTGGCGCCTAATTTCGCTGTACTTCCATGCTGAATATTTAAAGACACTTATCTACGTAAGAAAAAGGAAAAAAAATAATATTGGCAGCATCGTTATCCACAACCACCAGTTATCTATTTACGCTTTTTTAAATAAATAACAAAATAATTGTGTTTTGAGTTCTGTAAACATTAATATTTCAACTCACCCAATTGTTTGGGGGTGTAGTAGAACTTTCTCCATCCCTCCACACGTAATAATCTTCATAACCTGTTGTTCTATTCTCAGATAATTTGAACCAATCATGCTGATCGCTTGAGTGATTAGGTACGAGATCCATTATAATTTTTATATCTAATTCGTGCGAAGCAGTAACCAGTTCATCAAAATCTTCCAAAGTTCCGAATGTTTCCCAAACGTCGACAAAATTACTGATATCGTATCCATCATCCACCTGAGGTGAAGCGTATATAGGTGAAATCCATGCTGCATTAACGCCCGCATCTGCAAGATGGGGAAGTTTGCTTATAATCCCTCTCAAGTCTCCATAGCCGTCATTGTTGGCGTCATTAAAAGATTTTGGGTAAATCTGGTAGATGACCGCTGTTCTCCACCAATCCCAGTTTATTTCACTACTTTGAGAATTAGATGATCCCAGTAAAAAACTAATTACGAACAAAATTATCTCTCCGAAGCAAATAGGTATCTTCATAATGACATCAAATAAATAAATGCGGAATTGGTAACGGTGAGATTGATTAATGTTAGTTTTATTGAGATAATCGGATATTTATTGATCGCTGCCCAACGATAACACAACATTATACTCTGAACCTGATGATGCATTTACCCACAATGAGCTATTATTACATAGATAATGTAAGCACAATGGCGTAAAGTCCATTTGGATTTCAATATTTTAACGGAAGTTTTATTAACTAGCACAATAAAATAGACAAAATTACATGTTTTCCACGCACGACATAACTGAAAGAATCTTGGATACGTTTATTGCTATCATGAATGAAATCATCAATAACATTATGATGTCACTTTCCAGTTAGATGTTTATTTATAAAGTTTGATTGTAATTCTTAAAATGACTATTCAAATGAAACTCATTGTTTTTAATGTCTGAGTTTCTACTTCTGAAAAACGTAAATCATGTAACTATTTCAATAACAATTACAATAAAATTTTAAGTTCACGCCAGAAGAAACGTACGTAAACATAAATAGCTTTATTGGTATGTACTTAATTCAAAAAAGCTTCAAAGAATACAAAATTATATTTTTAGTATTTCTTTTCTTATTATTTATAATTAAATAGTCATTAATATGCGATAAATATTAAAATTGAAACGTTTACCATTCTAATCTCATGCTCCCATTACTCATTATTTAGAAATTTCTTGTTAACGAAGCATATGTACTTTTGTTTATCACTGTAATTGAGTGAGAAATCCCCAATAAACCTGTCTGTAGGAAGGTACTATTTAGCAACACAATGCTGATATAAAAAAGGGGATGAACACTTGATCTAGTTTCGAGCTACAAGGGTTTCGTATTAGGTAACTGTAGACCGCAGCTTCTCTGTTTGACCCATGATCTGACCCTTATGATCCTGTTTTTATGTTAAGGGTGTCTTTTTATAGTCTCTCCTCGTTTTAAAATGTGTACTTGAAAATTCAGTAGGAAATTCTGATTATAATTTATTTATTTCTACCTTCCACATATTAAACACCTGCAGTTTGATATCAACCGTATCATGTATTATGAAGCATTTAATACAAAAGGAGATCAACACCTGATTTCCTTTTTTAATTTAAAAGGGGATGTTGGTATGGACCCCAACTTTACGTGTCGACCCATGACCTGACCTTTGACGTATAGCTTACAGTCCAGTTACAATCTTGAGGGTCTTTTTTACTATCTACTTGACATGACCATATGGTTTTTTTTTGGAATAATTGAGTAGTAAATAGTCCTTTCGTTTTATCATGAACAAACATTTTGTTTTTCGATAAATAATGTTTGTTATTTTTAATTACTTTCCGAATAACGGTTTATCAACGTTTTTACAAAGCATTCTTAAAATTAAGTGGTTGGCAGAAAGTATATCGAAAGATGATAACTTAATATACCAAGATAATATTCATAAAATATTTGCTATCATAAAACTGATGTGTTCAAAATAAAATGATACTTCGAAAGCTTCTTTTGTTTATGGTTTGTTTTTACTGATATAAGTAAAAGTAGGTATCTTTTACATCACATCAGTTAAATTAATTGCTATGATAAAATAATTAAACTTTTATTAAATAATCTTGTTTTCTATATTGCTGATAAGTTAACAACTATAATGAGGAAGATTTACCCGGTATTCAATCACTTAAACTTTACTGTCATGTGCTGGCAACCCATCATACATGAAGAAGAGTCAAGAGTAACCTGTAGTGCCTTATACACATGTCGCTAGTATAGCAGAGGTCAGAATGCTCTAGAACGAGCATTCTGGAGTAGCATCTTTCTAAAATAAATTCAACCCATATTATACTTCATTTACTTTCGGTAGCGACGTGCCCCTTCCAGTGTCTTAGATGTGCGCTGGCAAAATCTTAGGTAGGGAAAAAAAGCTCATTATACTCTCGACTCTTGTTCATTAAACATACTTTTCAATACAGTACCTGCCAAAGGTTTTGTTTAATCATGAATAGTAGTGCGAGTCGAAAACAAGCGTTAAAGCCTTTAATATGTCTTCAAATATAAATAAACATTTCGTTGATATTTTCAGTAGTAAATGGTACCAATAACAGCACATTTGAGCAATGCAATTGTAGTGGATAAAATGGTNTTTGGGTGAGTTTGAAGATGGAACCGTATATCCGATGCTTTCTCAGTTTCTGTGGTTGACGTCCTCAGAGAAGCGGTACGTGGCGTAGACTCGGCGAAGGATTCTACGTTATAACCACGTCCTCTGAGAATGCTAACCACAAAATCTGGGTAAAAACAGTTTCAACTGAAGACTCACTCTGCATCAGGAGAAATCCTCGATCTCGGTCATCAAGATCGATAATAGAGTCTTGTTTAAAGGACTGTGAAATGTTATCGATGTGTAGAAATGTTTACGATTATATTTTTTTTTATGTTCCAGGTTCAAAGTTCCTATGTTCAGAAGTAATTGCACCAATAAAGAGCGAAATAGACGACATAAGCCTAATTATTATAAATTTCGAAGACTTGACTGCAAAACCGTCTGCTTCTTTAGAAAACAGCCCCGCAGCAAAAGGCCGTTTCAGCAAATGTAAGTTATTACAAATAACGAATTTTCTAACTCATGATCATCATAGGGTCGTCAGTCCTAAGACTGGTTGGACACGCACCTCCACTAATACTAGAAAAAACCACATCCTTAACTATTTCCGAACAGTAATCTAACCTAGATCTATCTCTACCCCTCCTAACTCTCTGACTAGACCTTCCTGCCTGAGAAGGTGTCCTACTAACCTATCTTGCCTATTTCTTATTGACTTCCATAGAGTCCTCTGTTCTCCTATTCTTTCTAATACCTCTTCATTTCTAACCTTCTCTACCATGGTATCCTCGACCTTTTCTGTTCCGCCGCGGCCACTGTCCATGTTTCGCACATAGAAGTGACTTCTTTTTATTGAAGGTGACTGAACTCAGCGCTATCCTCTGCTTTATCCCTTGCTATTCCTTCCGACCTTTTCAAAATTGAATACGTTCTAGTTTGAGAATACATGTATACAAATTCGAGATGCACCGGAAAGTGACTTTGGGGATACCGGATAACCGGTAACCCGGCATTAGCTGTACCGGCAAAACCACTATATGATTAATGGTTCATGTCTTTGTTACCACTATCACCAACGTCCCAAACCCATTTAAAAAGTCGTTTAAACACTAAACTAATGAAATGATAATTCTTGAGGGTTGAGTTGAAACCGTTGAAACGAGGCTATAATGTTTATAAACTCTAAAGCCTGCAAAGTGACAAAATCATACTAATATTAAAATTTTCGTCAATCAAAACCTGATATACCAACAAGCGTTAGAAATTGTAACAGTTGGGTGATACTAATGTATTCTTATTCAGTAGAAAAAGTAAACACAAGAACTATATCGAAATAAAAGATAATTTAGTATTGTAATCAATAAATAATACAAATTAGGATAAACGATCTATCCCAATACAATCTTAATTGCCAATTTTCACTAGGTAGATTTGTTATTCAATATTTCTCACTAAAGTACATGACGTTTTCCAATTTTTAATTACATTTTAAAATAGGTCAAGAATTAGTCAAATATCCAAATCAAAGTTGGTCAACTTTGTCGCCCACTGAAGGAAAACTAACCATATGGAATCGAAAAGCGCCCCATTTAAATACTATTCTGGAACACCCCTTTCATTTATTTCTGCAATAGTCTTAGGTGGCCATCTCGAAGAGAAAATTTGTATCAGAGTTTTTCTTCTTTTACGATTACAATGGAGTAACGGAAAAACAAAAATTTACGTCTGAAACGAATCATCTTTATGCATGATTATCATATGTATACATACTTGATTTTAAATCTTATTATTATACTAACGAGAAATAGTCAAAACGTTATCAATTTTTCAAATGGTATTAATTTTTGCAAACATACCAATCTGATTCGTGTTTTTTACCTGCGCAAGAGGTAACGACGGTATCTTTAAAACTTTTCATTCAAGCCGTCGTGTTCGGAAAATTGAATTTTTATGAGAATTGTAGGCTAACAAGAACAAAGCTCCGGATTTTTCCTTCGTGCTTCGTCTACGCAATTGAGAAAATATCTTGAGGCAGCGACAAGAGAAGAGCAAACCAAAATAAACAATGACTTTGCATCGCATATTTTCCATTATTAAAGGGAACAGGGTTGTTGTAGGTAGGTAGAGTATCTACACAAGAGGGGACATTTTTCTTTCGTTTTAGTATATGTATCTAGAGATAATGGAGCCGTTTTATTTGTTTTTTTAATTACGGCAGTACAAAAAATAGCAACTATTGATAAAATAATACAAACATTATAACGGTTTTATAGCAAAACGACTATGTGAATATTTATTTTAATTTTTATCATCTA